CGCTGGGACGAGGCCAACGTGGAGAAGCAGCGTCTGGAGGAGAAGCAGCGAGCCGTGCGCCGGAGGCGGGAGGCTGAGGCCGTGGAAGCTCTGGAGGAAGGTGAGACGTTCAGGATGCTGGTGGGTGGCGCCCGGCTGCTCCTTGCCACGGGAGCGGGGGGTGGCGATGAAACCCCACTGGGAAGGGCCCCGCGTCGATTCGGGGGGATGGGGGAAGCGCGGGACTCGCTCCCTGACGCCCTGGTTCCCCCCGGGCAGGCAAGGACTACGAAGGCTACATCCCGCTGTGGTTTGAGCGCAAGGTGGATACCGTGACTGGGGAGCTGATCTGCGTCTACAAGGGCGGCTACTGGGAGGCCAAGGACAAGCAGGACTGGAGCACGTGCCCCGACATCTTCTGAGCCGCACCGCTCCTGCCGGGGTGGCCAGCCTGGCATCCCCACTCGCCGGGACAGACCGGGACAGCGCGGGCACGCTGGCAGCCTCCCGCCGGCAGGAACAGTGAAAATACAGAGAGTCAGTACATGCAGAAATTTGAAAAGAAAATCTAAACAGGGATTCCAAACCTATTTTTTTACGCACTAATAAATAGCATCCTTTTTTTTTTAATCGATGGCTTTTTCAGCGACTAATGAGGAACAAGGACACGTGGATCTGGGTCGTTTTTAGCCGAGTGTATTTATTGCTGTCAGGAGTTGCTGCCTATATCTTTCAACACCTCGGCTTTATCGGCTGAGGTGTCGACTTCCAAAGATGCTCGCGTTGTGGGGATGCCGTGCATTTGTGTGAGCTCTTTTCTTCAACGTTGGGTTTTCCCTCCCCATTTGTGTGTGGACTTCATGGAATTTTTTGTTTTTAAATCTGCTCCGGGTTCAGGTCCGTCTTCAAAGACGGACCCAAACAGTGCTGCGTCCTGCTCAGAAGACTGTCTCCAGGGGCTGTCGTGCTTGAGCCTGGAGGCTCTTGGTGGTTCCTGCAGTGCCCAGTCATCCCAGTAACACCAGTTGGGGTATTTCAGCTGGTGACTTTTTTTTTTTAACCTTTGTTTTCTTTTTTGTTTCCCCAGAGAAGCGTTTGAGCAAAGTTTCCCCAAAGAAGCATTTGAGCAGATTCCCTGCAGTCTGTGTGTTAGTCAAGGCTTAGGACTGTCTGTAACATGAGGCTTTGTGAGAGTGATTCCAGTGAGGTTTGGTTTGGTTTGGTTTTCCTGCAACCACATCCAAAGGGGAAAATGGCCTTGTTGAGGTGGGAGCACCTGCCAGACACAGAGCAAAGAGCTCTGTAGGCCAGGGATGCTCCAGGGCCCGCGTGCCGGCTCTCCCCGCTCGCTCTCGCCGCAGCCCAGGGGCTGGCAGGAGCCTGGACCTT